AACTTCTGTTTTCATTGTTTTTCGTTTTGGGGTATATGACGGTGTACCATAGCATAACATAGGGCCTACAAGGGATAATATTGCTAATTACTTCAATGCTCAGTGGCAAAGAGCACAGCAGGATCTAGAGGCAGCCTCACCTCGCCATACTTCGATGCCACTCTTGGGGCCAACATGATGCTATGAAGTGAGAAACGAGACGAAGTCACCCACGGGTGGAGAACAAGGTGCTGCCCTATGCCAGGGTTTGTTTCCGGCCTCTGTCCGTCGCCAAGTCCACCCCACCTGAGCCGCCCCAGCGAAAAGCAATGGCTCAAGGAGCAAAGCTTCAGCAGACTGCGACACAAAAGGGTTGGCAATCCGAGTGCAATGAAGAGAGTTTGATTGCTGCACATGTTACGACTGCGGAAGCTTTCTGAAGGACATGCAGGTCTTTGCAGAGCGTACTGGCTGGGAAGGAGCTAGTTGGGCTTTCACTTCAAGGCAATATCGAGATTCTCAAACCTTGCGAGCAGGAACAGATTCGGAGTGGAGGGAGGAATTCAAAGTCCTCTGCTCCGAGCTAGGCGTGGAAAACCTGGGCTGCTTTGATCAGCCGATACTTTCTATGGAGCCTATTGACCTTTTGCGAGGCGTTGAGTCTGTGGACTTGAAGTCCTTTGCACGGCTCGTGGAGGACCGAAGCGAGAAAGGCGCTCCTGCCTCGTCCCAGCTCCAAACTTTGAGTTTTTTTTATACGTGGTGCAGGCTGCTTCTGTAGCAACGAGGACTGCGGAATGTGGGTGCTCTGATACTCCCCGGGTGTTGTTCCGATTCTTGACACCGTGCCTTGAGAGATGTGAGGAGCTTGAGAAGTTGGGCGGGTGCACGGCTCAATTCAATCTGTGTGCCACCTTGAAGCAGGTGATATGTTCGCATGATTTCTTTGCAGGCTTGCTACGCCTTCGCTAGGTGAGCAGGCGGCGCGCTGCTTAGTGCGGGCTGGGTGCTTTGGCTTGCAGCTCCAACCTGGCCAGCTGATTCTAGTGTTTCTGAGGTACCGCCAAGCCAGCCAACACCTTCGCTTCAGGCATCGGGCTCTTCCGGGTCCTGCGATCCCTGAGGCGAAGAAGTGAGCCTTTCAGGCACCACCTTCGGTCTTGCTCCGGCAGCAGTACCGGATGCACCCCAGCATGACTGCCTGCGACTGTCTACTCTGGCTGTGTGTCAGTGTAAGCATGCCGTTCGCTGGCGCTTGCCGCAGGAACAGCTTTCCCTCGAAACAGTTCTACGGGGGGAAGGTGGGTCTTGCAAGGGAGTGGCACAGGAGTCTGCTAGCTCATGAAATTGACGAGACTGTTGCACTTTGGTCTCCTCTAGCACTGCCTAGCACTTTCAGATGTCGCACTTCACCTAGTGGCTTCGAGGGCGGAGCGACGGCTGTGCAAGCGTCCGAGGTGTTCAGCGACAAATCGACGCAAGACCGTCCGGCTGGAATGCTCGTCCAAGACCTAGTTTTCCTTCTTGGACTGCACCCTTGCAACAGTAGCGATCCGTCTAAGTCTGAGTTCAGAGTCAAACCAAAGGAAGGTCTCTGTGTGATTCTGATGCCTGGTGATGTAGCACCAAACCCTGGCAAGGCCCACGGATACACTGGGTCACCCTCTCCAGTGCTGTTCTGGACGTCGCCTCCCACATTCCAGGAGGAGGCTGTCTGGCACAATCTGTGCAGCTCGGCATGCTTGCATACAGTGCCGAGCACGTCGCAACCTGGCATTTTCGCGAGATTCGGTTGGTTCGTCGGATTGCTTGAGGTTCTCAGCACTCCTCCACGATGTGGCCATAAGTGCACGCGTGCTGAAGCCCACGAGCAAGCATTCCTAATCAAACGCCCTTCATCGAAAGTGCCATCAGCGAAAGCTTCGTCGCCGAAGTCCGTGTCGTGCCACCAGCGAAAGCCCACTCATACAGAGTTCTATCACATTCAATGGCAGAAAATATCATCATCAACGTGGCAGGGCTCCGGCGTTCGTGTGGGGGATCCACGGGCAGAAATGCCATTCATTTGCTGGTTGAGAGCAGGTGCACGAGGTCGCCACGAAGGACTCGTCCACACGATCCAAGGCTGATGTCTTCAGCGCAGCATCCGAGTCTCGTCTCTATAGAAGTCTCTCGAAGGCGAATGTACGGGAGGCCGAGCGATGCGCAAGGCCGGTTGCAGCTGTGATCTAGAGTAGTAATACTAATATTAATACCAATAGTAGTCTTAATTCTAGTACTAGTATTATTAGTATTAGTAGTATGTGATGACCAATTTGTAGGCTGGCAGCTGAAATCGCCGCCCGGGCTGGCTCCAAGAGTGTCGCCGTCCTTTCCTGGTACAACGCCCAGGCGAGTTTCTGGCAGCAGATATATCTTCTTCTTGGTACTGTGGTTTAGGGTTTAGGGATTTTAGGGTTTAGGTAAGTGGGTGGATATTTTGGGGGGATTGTCACAGGTGGTGGAGCTGAAAAGCGAGCTTCGCCGCCTTGGAGCAAAAGGTGTCCACGTTGGCTCCGTGGTTACGGCACAGGGCTCCGAGCCCCGTGGCTCGAAGAATTCCTACAGAGATGCGTTTCACGCACCTCCTTGGGATGCCAGGTGGGACTATGTCCTCCTGTCCACCGTGCTTTCCAACGGCAGCGGCTTGACGGAGGCCCTGATGGCAACGCCCTCTGGTGGCGACTCACTTTTTTTGGCGCCAGGCCGGGCAGAGGTTGGGTTGCCTTGCGGACAAGTCCAGACCTGAGAGCGCGAAGGTGCAGCCTGTGCCGAAGCAAAAAACACCACCAGCCAAGATGCCAGAAATCACGGCTCCGTGGGTGCTGCTTCTCTTGGCAAGGCACTTGCTCAACGTTGCGGTGAGCCGCGGCAGAGTAGGCCCTTTCAGCGTCAAGATGAGTCTGTGTGTGTGTGTGTGTCCAGATCAAGCGTGTTGCCGCCTCTGCCGACGAAACCGAAACACCCGGTCTCTTTTTTTTGCTCTTGCAGGCCTGGTCGTGCTCGGAAGTCCCGAGGCCCAGCAAGTCTTGCGACGTCAGAACCGCAGGGTCTCTGAATAGTATACTTTGCAGCAGGTGTTGCGACTGGACCGTCACTGGGCCGCCTTCCTGGAGCACTGCAAGGGCCTGGGCGGCATTCTTCAGGACCTGGGAGGTCTTTCTTTGGCGCTAGTTACAGCGCACGCCACCTCGATTTTTGCCACCATCTTATATGGCCACAGACTATAGAAGTATATGGAAGAACTAGAATTAGAGAAGAGCGCAGACTGAAAACCTAGGGCAAATTTCTGCGCCGTGCTCTGGTCGTAAAGACATAGCGGCAGAGCTTGCGACTGTTGATGATCGAAATCCTGCAGTACCTTAAGGACCCTAAACTATGGGGAATTATGGTATATTCCTTATAATGTGTAATGCAGGATTTATATCATCAACCGGAGGACGGTGACTCTCCCGGTTTCTCCGGCAGAAGCCCAGGGCCAGGCCCTGGCCTTCTTTTGGGATCTTTGAGAGAGCATCGGACCTCGGATGAATTGCATCATTCTTGCTTCTTCTGCGTTTTCTGCTTCTTCTTTGTACTATTATTCGGGATTACGTTGTATCATTACTGTCCTTGTTAATCTCTCGGAGACGGAGAGAAGCAACTGCCTTGCAGGCGTCCCGGCAGTGCTCCAGCAAACCAGCAGCCAGGACAGCCAGGGCGACATACATGTGAACGAAAGATCCGCCGCCGTAGCGGCAGATGTCACGCGACACTCAGGATCCCTTTCGCAAAGTGTTGGAACAGTACAGGTGACGTTCTGAGATCTCTCTATCTGCTTCGCACTGTGATGCCTCCATCCCCGAGGCAGCAGAAGGTCCAGGCTGCTGGCAGTCAGCAGTTTTACAAGCAGCTTGCCCGAGAGCCATCACAGGCGCTGGTGGTGTGGGGCGCCGTTTTCCTGCCACCGGATGACCAGCCCCTGCTTGAGGCAACGTCGACAGCCAGCCCTTGTCCCTACCCGGCGGCAGAAGCCAGGGAGCTTTGCTGGCGAGCCTAGATTCTACCAGCTTGCTTGTTACACTGATGCTCGTACATCTCAGCAAAGCTAAAGCTCATGCCTGAGGCATAAAATTGCTGCCGGACGGCAAGGGCAGTACCTCCGATGACCGGCCGCCCAACGAGTGCTTCAGATTCCAATGAAGCTTCAAGGCAGTTGAAGCGCGATTCAGGTGACTGAGCATAATGCAGTTTCAATGCTGTACGTGTATGTAACTGCTTCAGCTCCTCCACCCGCAGCTTGTAGAGGGGCTGCTATGTACAATAGCCTCTACTGCTCCCTTGGAGTACTCTAAGAAGATGATGACCGCAGAAGCTTCCTCGAATTGGCTGAGCCTCAATCTAAATCTCACAGCTAAAGCAAGGTGGATGGGTCTAGCCAGCAAGTACTCCAGGGACGCCACTCTCGCGTTTCACTCCTGAGGTAACTCTGCAGTCTGACCGGCATGATGCCTCAAGACCTCAGAAGTCTGTTCATCGCTCTGTCGGAACAGCTGCAGTAGTTCCTCCACGAACCAGCTCAGCAGGTTGCCATGCTACCGAGCATACGCAGACACAGTGCAAAACTGTGTGCCTGCCAACCCGGAGCAAAATCTCCTGCAGCAGGCAAGTGCAGGTCATCATTAGTCATGTAGCTAAACTGCACTTGCAAAAAGCTCATAAAGGCTGGTGCAGTTGTGCAGGTGATCTGGTCCAGAAGGAACGACGAAGCATTGCACCAGGTGGGATGCGAATCTATCCACTGAGCCCAACAATCGTGCAGCCACAGTTTTCAACCTCCTCACCTCGGCCACAGGATGCGATAGCTTCAGCCGACCGGGATTCCAAGCAGGGGCCCCGATAACCGTCATGGGACTTTGAAGGGAAGGCGCTCGCGCAACTGTCGGGTTGCTTGAGAACTTGGCATGCGGCATCTATGTGCTTGACGGCACCAGTGGGGGCACTGGAACCTGAGTTCGGGCAGAACCATTCTGGATTTGTCAGTATTGAGGCTGCGCGGTTGTCCAAAACGAGGGTGTGGCAAACGAACCGCCCGGGACATCATTTCCGCAGATTCTGGCTGCAGCTGTTTCTCAAGGCTCAGCTAGGCCATTATGCTCCCCAACTCGCCAAGAAGCAGAGCTTGATGGTCATCCTGCAAGCGGCACAAAGGGACGCCTGTGGCCATGCAAGAGGAAAATGTTCGAATATTAAGCCTAAACCCTAAACCCTAAACCCTAAGCCCTCTTTGAGAACCTGAACCATAGAGTTCCTTGAGTGACTTGAGCCGCCACGGGGCAGCCTGCACGAGACTCGCCATGCAGGCCGGGCCTGCTAAATTCAACCTGATACCCGGTTTAGGGTTTAGGATTTAGGGTTTAGGGTTTAGGATTTAGGGTTTAGGATTTAGGGTTTAGGGTTACTACATGTAGAAGCAAGTCAAACGATCCAAGCAGTGCGCAAAACAGCTACCTGTACGGCTGCAGGAATTTCTGACCGCCTACTGGCCGGTGCTCTTCGCCTTCGCAACAATGGTGCGACACCGAGCGCTGGGAATATCGAATCTGTGCCCTGTCCCGGGCATCTCAGGCCCTCATGTCCGTGGTGGATTACCACGAGTGTGTGTGGCCACAACCCAAGCCAGGGGATGAGAGGAAGGATGAGGACCGGACTGCTTCGGCTGAGCCGGTGTTTCGAGTTCTCTTGCGGAATGCGGCCGAGGCCCCCCAAACTGGAGTTAACTGGCATGCAAGCCGCTGGACTCTGAGTGTTCAGCATGAGTTCGTGTGATGTGTGTGTTTTTTTCTTTGGGATTTTTTGTGTTGTTTTCAAGACGCCAGGTGCAGTTCATGAAAGCTCCAGTGTGGCTGTGCACTGGCTTACCGACCTTAGCCCTGGTGTCTGAGGCTCAGGCAGTACAGTAGTGGCATTCCTTATCACTTTGCTGGGTCTACCCTGAACCATAAATCCTAAACCGTAATGCCCTAAACTCCGAAGCTTCTGAACCCTAAACCCTATATGCCCTGAACTCCGAAACTTCTAAGCCCTAAACCCGAATGCCCTGCCCTAATGCCCTCCGAAACTTCTATAAACCCTAAACTGCCCTGAACCCTATAAGCCCCATCCCCTCCCTACTAGCAGCCCTCTGTTTGCTTTTTCTTTGGGACCTCAGGCCGCTCCTGGCCCGAGCCTCTTCCAAGTATGGCTTGAGCCTGAAGGACCGGACCTCTCTCGTCCGCGGCTTAAAAAAGGGATGATGCCTTCGTGAGGGTTTGGGGATTAGGGTTTAGGGTTTAGGGGATAGCTTATATTAAGGGGGATTCCGACTTGCGTAAGAGAGGTTCCCAGATTAAGGGGTTCGAAATTTTGCTCTGCAAGACATGGAAAGTGCCGGCAGTGATTGCTCCAAGATGTGGTGGCACGTGAACCTGTTTTGGTTTCACACCGGCTGCGACGTCTTCAGCGGCTACTACCAGGCAGGGTGGCTCAGTCTCCGTCAAGTGCAGAGCCTTCGCGTTGCCCAGGTCATGCCTGTGCTGACCGAGCTATACACGCGAATGAGTCTGCTGCTGAGGTGGTGTGGCCAAAGGGTAGCGAGACTGTCTGTTGTGTAACACACTTGTGTGTGTAGGTACAAGCTCTAGCGGTCGAGCCCCGAAGCATTCTGGGCTCGACCGAATTTCGACTTCCC